TATATATATATATATATATATATATATATATATATATATATATATATATATATATATATATATATATATATATATCAAAGCTATATCAGAGATATATATATGTGATCTATCAGAGAGTTGTACAACGGACAATAAACAGTGGATTTAGCTGCAAAGTAATCCTGTCATAGCTTGCTTCTCAATAATTTGATAGTAGAGTTTGAAAGATAGAGAGATTGATATACATATATGTATGTATACACACATACAGATAAACATGTGTATATACATGCGTACACATGTACATATGTATATATACATGTTTAGATTTATGTTACAAAAATATTTACAGGTTTTTCATTGTGTACTTAGGTGACGAACACAAGCTGTACATTCCCTCTCTGCATATGATGTTGCACCATCCGCGACAATTTGTAACTTACACTAGTATACACGTTTCTTTTTTTTATTACAAAATATATATATCGGCTAAAGTACAAAGTAAATACCAAATGCCAAAAATATGTCTGTTTCCACTTTGAAATTGCAACCGAACGCAATGTAAAACACTCCCCCCCCCTCCCTTTCTTTCATTTCTTTTTTTGACGGGAGATCCATACGCATATATATATATATATGCTAAGAATTTTCCTTTAAAATACTTTCGCGTAGAGAATACATAAATATTACAACTCAAATTTTTGCGCCTTATTTCCTAATCACAGATCTCTGAACTTTGATATTCGCTTGAGAATCGATGATACAAGATTAAAATGTTCTATGTACGTTAGAAACTTCGCGTTGCATATTTTGTATCTTCGTTCAGGTATAATCTTAATCGGATTAGATACACGGGAATGCGATCCACTTGACACTTCTAAATGCTCCAGATGTTTTCGCTGTCTTATTCTTTGTTACACGAGTCTCGGTTACGCAATGGAATATCACTATAACACCCTTTATATCTCTCTCAGTTTCTACAAAAACTCATAAAAGTCAATTTGAATCATCAAGATTATTATCGATCATTGAGAATTTCTTTCACTCTCTACACAATTGCGATAAAGCGACAATCTGTAATTAACTTTTAGAAACTATGTAGCTATTTTGATTTTTTTTTTTTCAATTTCCGGATTAGAATTTTTATATATAAAATGTTAAAATGACATTTGAAAAAAAGTTCTGCTCAGAGAAAAATTAGTTTTCCGGTTTCCAAAACGGGATTACATCAGATAAGAGCAAGACTGCGATTTGAACGTACTACAGCATTTACAGTGACATTTGCAGTGGATCGCATTCATAATTGCAATTAAAAAAAAACTACAAGTAAAAGCTATGAACGCTTCAACCCATTACGAAAGAATTACGCTTTTCTCTTGCATGTAATAAATTAACATATCTATTTGCTTTTCCGCCAATATCTCAATAAATAAATTTGTGACATGTGCTTTCTCGTGGTTTTTTTTTCCTTTTTCTTTTACTATGCGGATCTAATTGCCGCAAGGTACCTTCGGCGTTATAAATTTTTACGAGTCTAATAAACGTTACCACCTAATTGTACTATAATTAGTTCGAGCGACGTGTCCAGATAATTCTAGTTACTGCAAAAAGTGAACAATTAATAATCCTTAGTGCTGTGAAATCTTAAATGTACAGCGTTAACGAAGTAGCTAAAGTAGCTTCGTTGCACTTCTTAATATTCACCATCGCTCGTTACGTCGGATTCTATAAATCTGTATCCGATAATACACAAACGATTCGTTATATTACAGACAAAAGAAAATTGATTTATAATGAAATTCGAGCTGCACTTTACGCATTGTAACAAGAAACATATGTACATTTATTTAATGATCGCATTGTCAAACTTATCTCAAACGTTTTTATATGCTTTATATATTATAATTTCAACTACATATAAAATGCAATATACATAATTTCAATTACATGTGTACACTGGGTTGACGTTCGACTTAGAGTACTCGTCATGATTGAATCATGAAATTATATCATATAACAAGTTGTGGCATAAGCAAACAATGTCGCAACGCGTAGTCAGCAGTTTTTAACGTAACGTCCATTCGTCGAAGCAAGAAAGTGGAGAAACAGGGCTAACAATCGGTGCTCCGCAGACTGAATGAAAAGATTTAAGCAATCCTCCTTACAAAATAGTCTACAATTCTCTCGCTGTATTAATTTATTATAATTTACTTCTATACGCCTTAATACGTTTCATATACCGCTCAGTTTTGTACTTGAATGAATGTTATGAACGAATCGAGTTTTGTCTAGTGGAGATTGATCTAAAAAAAATAAAAATATAAATAAAACATATTCTCTCGCTTTTTAACTAAAAATATATATTCCATTTACTCTTCGCGTCTAAAGTATCGAATAAAATGTACAATTACAATCGTACAGTTTATCGGAATAGATTTTGTGCCCTGCCCTCTCTCACCGCATCGCGACATTAAATATCGCCTCTGAGATAAAACTCAAGGATAAATAACGTTTTTTTTTTTTTTTAAATAAAATTGCAGTTAAAAAAAATAAGGAAAACCATTTACTGTATGTATCGATAACACGTACAAAATCTATTAAATGTAATAATATATATTAACTTATAAACTTTCGAAATAAAACTCAAGTATTTAAATTTCAACATTTCCCCTTTATTATAAATAATCTGTTCATTTTACAATGAAATATAAAATATAGAGAATTCTAGGCTCACTCTTGCCCTTTTATGCGTCAGAAAACAGCACAACACAGTACTATTTCACTTATCTACGTATCATATTAGATTTGTTATGATTGTTGGACCTACAAGCTAAGACTAAATATTATAGCTTCATTAAATATAGCTTTTATATTGTTAATATTATGCGTATTTTATGGAAATAATATATATGTACAGACACAGGATAAACGATGCTTAGGTGCACAATTGTATATAATGATAACTGTTTGCGAGAGGGATATCGCGAACCGAAATCGGCTGATTCGATTATCAGCCTCAATCGAGCGCGCCTCCAACTTTGTCAACCTTATCAAAATTGGATTAGTGTCATACATAAACATTTTAGGGCACCATTTCACCGGTATAAAAAGTGTACGCCGTTCGAAATACACTTTTGGCCGTTTTTCACGCGAAAGAGTACCGCAATGGAGCTCTCTTTCTCTTTTTTCTTTCTCTCTCTCTCACTCCCCCCCCCTCTCTCTCTCTCTCAATATACCCTATCTAAAAATGCGCGTCGCTATATCCTCAAAATACTCAGCTATCATCTTAGGCCACATGAATTCCATCGATTATGTGGAGAGAAAAGTCACGAAACCAATATATACTATCTCTAAATTTTAAATACATGCGTGACAATTTTCTACAAGCGATCGATAGCGAACGCAGCACGGTTCTCTTTTCGCTTGCTTAAGAAACTGCTGGAATTCTGTATGCGGCTCTTCTCGTTTGCCTTCTCATCTCGCGCCGACTGTTACGCGCGAGACGATGCACTTGCTTTTCTTACAATAAGAAAATGTACAAACTTCCATTAAGAATATTTAGCTCGAGTTCTGATTTCTTTTTTTTTTTCTTTGCTGTTTTGTTTTGATAGAATAGTCGAAAGTATCGTCTTGTACGACAAGGAGAAAAGGGCAAGATAACGGTCCGACAGCCCGCGCGGGATCGAAACAATGTGAAACGACATGAATTTAGAACTAAAGAACTTTGAACAATCCTACCCTTTATGCCGGTTACGACCTCGACGCTGGATTATTGAGAAACGGCTTCTGCGGTTGCCCCGACGTTGCAGGCGGATACGCCTGGTTGCCCGACGGCGGCGGATACGGATTGGCACCCGGTGGCGCTTGGGACGCCTGAGGCACCAAGAACTGCTGCTGTTGCGTCGGCTTGGTGACCGCGGCCGCTTGCGGCGGCGCGGTCGCCGGCGCGCTGCTGTACATCGGCTGCTGCGCCGCGGCGGTGGTCTGCGGCGGCGGTATCGCGAAGTTCGGATACTGCACCGTGCTGGGCTTGCTCTGGAACTGAGGATAGTGAATGGATGCGGAGCCCGGTGGCGGTATGTACGGCTGAGGGGGTAGTTGCGGTAACCCGGGATAACCCGGCGGGGTGCTGGCGACCAGGTTGTGGGGCGGAGATTTGTGCGCCTTCAGTATCGCTTCGGCTGTCAGACCTGTAATCGAAAAAAATACCAACATGCAGAAGAGCTGACTTCGTTTTAGCTGACTGTTAGTGCAAATGTCTTTGTCTTTAGTGAAGCTAGTTTTCGCTCCACGCTTATTCTCTTGCGCTTGCAAATGCTGATTTTTTTTTCAATATGTTAAGAATAACAAGTTTCGATTCGTACACAAGCACAACGTACCATGCTTACGAGCTCGTTCCTCTTCGTCATCACTCAGCAGCAGTCCAAATTCGCGCTTTAATCGCTCGGTGAGATTCTCTCGCTGACGCTCTACCAATGTTGGCGCCGCAGACCAACCGATTGCGCCTTCTTCTCCGCCTAAAAGTCATCACTTGTGTTATTTTCCTTCCCAATACAACGCGTATCAATTAAATTCTCAAGACTTGAATAATGGTGAAAGATTATTGCAAAATGTCATGTGTGATTTTATATTGCAGATCTATTTGAGAGGAATTTGAGCGAAATATATAATTAATTTAATTTATAATCAATTCGCAACAGAAAAAGTATTGTACATATTTTGAAGTTACTATTGATTGATGGAGTTTACGATGAGTATTTAAGTGGCGATATTCATTACCTTTTTTTTCATCGTTGTCGGTGGAAGCGTTAGCAAAAGCAAGCGTGAGGCTTGGTAAATCGAGAGAAAGCGCCGTTTTTGAACCTTCTTCGTCAGAGCTGAGCGAAGAAGTGCCGCTGCTGGCGCTGTCCGATCTACCACGCGCTCCGCTTTTATCCGGCGTGGAGGAGTCGTTCGGCGATTCCGGCTCGGTTCCCGTCCCTCCAGACGATTGCTGCTTGCGCTTACGATACTCCGATATGGACAACTAGAATAACATTTTTATAAAACAGTTATATTGAGTTTAGCGTAACGGCTATTTTACAAAAATATACGAAAGCGCGATAAAACGAAAGAATTAATTTTACATTATGATGCAGATGCGACGCGACGACAATAATATAATAATAAAAAGATAGATGGGGCACGTCCTAAGAAAACCGACACGATTCTAATCTTGTTTACCTTGCGTTTAACGGGAGCAGCGGCGTCCGCTTTAAAAGCCGACGGTGCCGGCATGCTGTTCGGTACGACGGTCCGTGGATCTTTCAACCGTTTTATCTCCTTGGGTTTGTCTTCCTCCTTGACGGGCGACGTCTCCTCCGACTTTGGAGCTTCCTGAATCGGAGCCGGTTCTTCTGCTGCGTCCGAACTGGGTTCGGAGGACTCTTTTGCCTGAGCAACTTGCGATGGTGCATCAACTTCGTTATCGATGTTATTTTTCGTCACTTCCGCCGCCGCCGCCGCCGGCACATCGTCCAATTTTGCTTCCAGAAGCTCGCGCAACGCTGTCGACAACATCGACTTCTCCTCGCCGTTCTTGGAATCATCCACGGTGTCCATGCTTATTGCGGATTCTATGATGGCTACCTCGAAGTCCATCTTAGGCGCTTTCGACGTGACCGCCGGATCCGTTTTCTTGCGAATCCGCTCGCTCAACGGCGGAATGGAGTGAAAAATTTTGGGAAGGTTTGCGACGGATTTTGTGTCTGCGTTGCAGGAAGCCGATTCGAAAATGACTTCCTCCGTCGACGCGGTGAAAGCTGACGACTGTTCTTCCTTGGAAACCTCCTTCGGAACCTCCTCCTCACTCGTGTCTTTATCCATTTCCTTCGCGTCGTCTTGCGTAACAGCGATCGGTTCCGATTTAGTCTCAGATTTGCTATCTAATTCTTGAAAAGACGTTTCTTCATGGTCGAGCAACTTGAAGGAAAATTCGCAGTACTTGTCATCGTCCATATCTTTGTCCTCGGAATCCGAATCCTCCTTCGAACTCTCCATCAGTCCTTCTATTCCGTCAATACTTTTGTCCTTCTCCGAACTCACATCGATCTTTTCCTGATAGTCGTTGCCGTCGTCGCCCGTGATCTTCTTCATCTGCGCCTCGACGTCGAACTCATCGATCGACGTGTTGTCATCCAATCTTTCAACGATCTCTTGACACTTGTCAACGATTTCTTCTGCTTTCTTCTCATCGTCAGATTTCTCGTTATCGTTACTAACGATATTCACGATCTCAGCGACGCCGCCACTGAATTCCAGCTGCATCTCGGCCACTCGTTGCTTCAGAATTGCGTCCGATTCCATGACGGCGATGGGAGAACTGAATCCCTCCATTTCAGTGTCGGGTTCGTTTTGATCGACAATCTCGACTGTGCCTCTAGTGAAAACTTGCGCCTCCTTCAGCGGAAAAGGCTCCATTTTTCCCCGCAAATCGTCTAGTTTGATTCCGCTTTCAACGACTTTTCTGATTTTCGCGAATATTTTTGGATCCAACGAGCCGTAATCACATTTAGATTCTATATCATTTTTCTCCCATTTCGGAGAGACTTTTTCTTCCTTCATCAAAACATTTTCCATTTCCGTTACAGGAGACAACTCTTTTTTAACAATATCCGATATATATTTCAACGAGCATTCCGGTTTTATAGGACATATCTCCTTCTTAACGATATCCGATATATATTTTAACGAGCATTCAGGTTTTTCTTCGCTCTTTACGTAAAAGTCCGCCTGGGGAAAGATATCATTGAGTTTCCCTCGAACTGGCTCGCTGGAATCCATAGGCCTATCATCCACGTTGACTTCTTTCTTCACGGACTCCGACTTCTCGTCATTCCGTTCTACGATAGGTGAGTGCGCGTGTTCCGTACAATCATCCTGGAAAAGAAAGTATTCAAATTACGAACATATTCATAGGAAAATATTAACAAGAAGCCAAAAAAAAGCGCAAAACTTACTTCAGTAGGACATAGCGATCTGCTATTAGGCGTTGTCTCGGTCGGAAGCATCATGGTTGGTGTCGTCGGCGGTGTGTAATTGTCCGACGACAGGCTCTCTCGAGCTATTCTCCGCTTCTTGGGTGGAGCTACCGTTTCACAGAGAGAAGGCGGACTCTCGGGTCGACTGTTAGGCGAGTCGCATTCCTCAGAAATTGCCTGGCGCAGCCATCGCTTTTTCGCCGAACCTGTGGACGCAGCGACGGGGCCGCCGCCACCGTTGTTGTTGTTGTTGTTGTTGTTATTGTTGCTAGAAATCACAGTAGCCTGTTGCTGTTTACGTTGCAACGGTGAATCGCATATGCCGCTAACCGAATTGGCGGCTTGCACGAGGGTGGCTAAGCTCTTAGCCGCGTAGCTCTGCGACAGAAATTCCGCGGACGGATCCGTCGACTGCAGCGGCGGAAACTCCGATGGTCTGGCGCAAAGCGTGTTCATGGAATTGTGCAAGGTCGGCGCTGACGGTAAGGCCGGCAGTGGCGAGACCTGGGGTATGTTAGCCTGCGGCGGATCAGGCGATTCCTTCAGCCACTCGTTCATCAGCACCTTCTTCGTCTTCGGAAATTTGAAACCCGGCGCCAACGGACCGACAGCGGCAGCCACCAGAAGACAGGCCGACGACAGTGGCGTGGATGGCGTGGAACTCTGCGAGCTACTGCTGGCACCGCTGTCGCACGTGGGACTCTTGACGGGGGTGGGCTGCTGTAGCGGTGGCGAGCTCGGAGGACCAGGGGCATTCGAGTTCGCCAAGGCTAAGAGCAAGCCGGCCGCCGTAGGAATTCCTTGAGTGGATGACGATCCAGTGTTACTCGCGCCGTCCATCATCGCGTTCTTCCCCGGCGTGTGCAAGTGCGACGAATAGGGAATGTCGCGATTCGGGGTGCGATTCTGACCGAGCAACGGCGGCGATTGCACGGAGTTGCTCTCGTCTCCAGAAGACACGTCGGATTCGGCCGAATTCATTCTCGTCCGTCGAGTGGTCTGCTGCGACTGAGACGTACTCGTCGTCCTCGCTCGACCTTTCCTTCTCTTCCGCCGTAGCGGCCTCTCGGAGTGATGCTTACTGTTCTTCGACTGTCCTGTCGTCGAGTGGCTGTCCTCGTTGTCGCTGTGAGTGCCGCTCGACTCCTTCCGCTGCGCGTTTCTCGCCTGCACCTCCTGCTTCCTCTGCTCCGCCTTCTCCATCCTCTCGAACGCCTTCATGATCGCCTCCATCTTCCTCTCCTCTCGCGTCATTTTCTTCTTGTCCTTCTTCGTTTCCGGCGCCGTCGCCGAATGGCTCAGACTGGGTGACGTTTGCGGCGGCGCGCTCGTTACCGTCGCCGCGACGGGTTCCTCCTTGGAAACTTGACGGGTCGTTGTAGTGGTCACCGCGGTCGTGACAGCTCTTCTCGGCGTCGCGACAGTCACCGTCGATGACGACGACGACGACGACGACGTGGTCGACGTCGAGACCGTGGTGACTTGCGCCACGCTCGTGGAGACCACCGGCGGCGCGGGATCAGTTTCCTCACAGATGGTATTCCTTCTGCCTCGTCGTCTTCGTTCTCTGCCACTGCGCAAGCGACAAAAACGTATAGAATTACGCATATCACATGTTTTATATAATTTATTTGGATCACTATGTTAAACTTACTCGGCATTTTCAGCGAGGGCGCCGTTGCTTCCTCTCCTGTTCAGTTGATTCGCCGCCGCATTGGCGATCTGACACTCCCGCGGATTGTTGCACGCGCACACAACGGGCAGCGCGGGGGAATTGGGATTGGGCGACAGCAGCAAGTCGTGCTGCTCGTGCTTGATCGTGATCTCGGCGTTTTTCTCGATCGCGCTCGTCGTCACGATGTAGAGGTGCAGCGTGCCCTTCTCGATGCAGTGCTTCACTTCGGCATTCGGTTTGCAGCTGCGCCGGACGAACCTCGCGTCGTTGCCGTACGTCCGCGTGTCCACGCACACCTCGGTGCCGTCGCGCGGCAAACGATAGAAGAATACAAACGGCCCCGGCCGTTGAGCGTGCTGCCTGCCGCCTTGCGGATGCTGCGGTCGATGCTGCGTACTCAACATGTATTTACCGCGTAGTTCCACGACCGGAGTATTTGGTGGCAGATACATCGTGGCCACTAGAAACTGTAGCAGAAACACCAATATACGTGTATCTTAATATACGTATTTTTGCAGAAAAAGCAATTTAGCGAATAAGTTACACTACGTTTACATTTCAGATATTTTACTTTAACGGCTAACAGATAATCGCGAAAATGATGAATAATACTGAAAGTAGTGGAAGATATTTGTATACAAGTAAGATAATGATGTAAAAGAATCCCTCGCAACTTTCGCAATAACAATTTTTCTTCGTTTACTTTCAAGTCCAAGATAACGTTACTTACTCTGAGATTATTACTGTGCACGTTGAGTCTGCATTTGCCGGTGGCGATGACATTCATGTTACACTGTCTGAGATCGCTGTGCGTGCCGTTGACTTTGATGCTCGATATCCTTGCTCGCAGTTCCGGGCTGTAGTGATTCGTTACGGCCTCCTCGTATCTCTCGATCCACTGTCTTAGAGGCGCCATGTTGGTGCCCCACGCGTCCTGAGTGTCCTCCTCCTTGTCCTCGAGACTCATTCTCCTCTTGGCTTTGCGTTTTCCAGGTCCCCGCTTCGGCGTGGTGTTCTCTTTTTTACGCACGGCGCTCGACTGCCGTGCGTGCGAATCTCTCCTCTGTCGTTTCGCCACGTTGTTGTTGTTGTTATTGTTGTTATTCAGTCGTCGCACTTGCGCAGGTTGAGCAGACGCATCGGACTTGCTGCGTCTTGGCACCTGCGACTGCTGCTGCGGGAGCGAGCGTTTCTTCTGAACTGTGGTATTGTTCACCGAGCCGACATCCGTGTCGACCGAACTAGTGGACGACGTGTCGGACGAGGTGTCCGAGTTTAGCAGCTCCTCACGTTTGCGCATCTGCAATGCTCGAGCTCGCTGTCTATCTACACGTCGCGGCCGACACCTCTCGCAGAGATACTCGTCAGGAATGTTTGAGCGGTCTATGCCCATACAATCAACGTGTTGCCATACTCTGTAACGGAATCATATAATTATTGCAATGTTCTCAAATGATTATCTAGATATTTATAAAATATGTATAATATACAAAAAATATAAAAAGTTCCTTAAGTAGAATATTTTGTAGAGTTATATCTACTTAATTGTATTTCTATCATACTTTCTCCCTCGATTTCTTAAATATTTTACAGTAATATTAAAAATATTAGTGACACTTACAAACATCGGTCACAACAAATCATGTAGCCATCGTCATGCTCGAAGTCACTAGAATAATATTTAATAATATTATTATTCAATTATATGATTATTTATTTATGTATAACAGAGCAAAGACAAAAAATATCGTATTATATTTTATCGTTAAGAACGGTTGCTTGCTTACCAAATGCATCTAGTAACACTATCTTCGTCGTCGCCTTCGCCTTCAGGCGCTGTTTCGGTTTCTTCGCCTTCCGGTTCTGCTTCCCGTCCTGCTTCGCTACTTATCACGCTAGCGGCGTCATCTTCCGCATTAGTATTGCTCATAACTATAATTACGCAACAATATCCATTATCAGCGACGTTGCTATATTAATATATAAGATAATAAAAGATTCCAACACTTATCATATCTATGAATTATATAAGAATTGCGTGTTTCCCAATAAATGCGTTAAGCAACACGTTTCTACGTGAAAAAATCGTGATACAGACGGAACTTGATTACAGCTTCGACAAACAAATATATAATTTCTCAATTAAACTGCGCTTTGCCCAAATAGAAACAAAGATAGATTTATTTAAAAAATCCGAAATCACTTATTACGCAACTCAATAAGATATAAATTTTTGACAGAAAAAAAAAAAGATAAGACTTGACTTGTGTAACATAAAAGCGTATTACCTGGTCCGAAAATATAAGAATGTTGTGAAGTGGCCGTGGAGCTGCCGGCTCCATTGATGGGCTGTTGTTTCGGATGGGGTGGTGGCGACGGAGGCGGCGGCGGCGGTGTTCGCGGTGGTGGCGCTCCGTAATTGTGGTCTTGAAGAACAAACTGCAGACACTTGAACAAAGCAAAGACAATTGAACAAGGATTCTTTCTCAAACAATGCAATATTAAATATTGATTACAATGTCAAATAAAAAAAAAAGAGACAATTTGTATATATAAAGATGCATACAATTCAAAAAACATTTTAGACTAAACGCTAAATATAGTTCAGCATGTAAATTTGTACCTCATAAGGAAGCGGCATTCTCCTCACTGGTGATTTGGGCGCGCTGTGCTCCTCTTCTTTGGACATTCGGAACTCAATATCATTTCTAGAAAGCAATATTTTTTTATTAGTATTTTAATAATAGATGAGAGAGAACAAAATTCAGATTGCCATTATTTAATTCTACAAAAAAAAAACTAATAAAAACAGGAATTAATTAAATAAATTCGTCATAGAATTCATTCTTAAAGTTAAATTTACTTGTTCTCAGCGATGTCTTTGCGGGATTCGCTCGTGGTTGACGTCACCGGTAGCAGAGTCTTTATCTGTCCGACATGCTGTCTCATCTGCTGAGAGTACTGCGGCGCCATAATGAGTTGCTTCTGTTGTATTGCTTGCTGCTGGATTTTAATCGGTGAGTTTTTGTGCGCAGCCATCACGTTGGACGACGCGACGGTCATCTGCTGCGGCAGCAGCGTCTTGATGCTCGTCGTCTTCTGCATGACCGGCGTAGCGGCCGGGCCCTGCACTTTCGTCAGTGTCGTCACATTCGTGTTCAACGAAGTCTTAATGCCACCGCCGAGCTTCTGCGCGTGATTCCTCTGCACGGGTTTCTGCGGCGGAATAGTTTTGATGCATCCAGGTTGCTTTTGCGGTGCATTCTGCGGACCAATCACATTCTGTTGCTGTTGCTGCTGTTGTACGATCTTCACCGGTTGGACAGAAGTGCTGTTTCGCTGTACTACCGGTTGCTGAACGGCGTTATTTTGAGAATTCGCCATGTTCTTGACAGAGTTCACCAATTTCTGCGAGACGCCCTTCAGACCTGCCCCGGATTGCGATGCTTGCGCCTGGCCCTTCGGCATGCCTACCCTCATCACCAGCTGTTGCTGCTGCTGCTGCTGCTGAGCCTTCGAATTCATCATGTCTTGAGTCCTCTGATTGTTCGGTATGGTTGTGATCACCTTTTGATGCACGCTAGTAATACTGTGACTTCTTTGAGACTGTAGATTATTCGCGCTCGCCGATTGCTGCTGTTGCGACTTCTGCATTACAGGTTGTTGCTGCTGCGGCTGCGAGATTTGCTGTTGCTGCTTGCTGACTGTAAGTGTGCTCGAATTGTGCTGCGGTATCTTGGAGATATTCGGTACGCTATTGCTCTTGCACACATTGCTCGTCGCGATTTGCGTCCGACTGGCAGCGGCTTGCACCGTCGCCAACGTTTGCGACTTTTGTAGCCCCGTCGCCGCCGACTGAGATCGCTGTGCTAGCTTCTGACTCGTCGCTAGATGCTGCCCGAGTGTTTGAGATTTCTGCGTGCCGGTTACGGGACCGCTGCATTTCGAGACGTTGTTTACCTGTTGCGGTGTCGACTGCTGCTGCTGCTGCTGTTTGGCCGCCGCTAGACTCTTTTGAGATCCCTGCACTTTCTGCAAACCGAGAGGCTGCTGCGTTTGCTGATTGCCGGCCGCGTATTGCTGCGTCTTATGATTCGCATAATAGCCGCCGCTCGACAGCTGCGATGAAATCTTCTGGTTGTTGCAGACAACCGACTGGTATCCTGCTTTCTGCGTATTAGCCGCATTGGCGGGCTGCGTCGTTGTCGTCTTCTGCAGCATCGCTGTACTGCCTTGCTGGACCTTCTGCGAGTTCGCGCTAGACGCAGCCGCCTGATTGTTGGCCGCCAATTGACCGATCTGACTGGTTAACATTTGTGATTTTGGCACGCCCTGTATTCTGGATAAAGAATTGTTGCGTTGCACAACCCCGGCAACAGGCTGATTGGTGTTGACGCTCGTCACAGTCTTTACCTTCTGCAGATTCATGGTCTGCGCAGTCGATTGGCCGGTCGCCGCAACGACGCTCGGCGACGCCGTCTTCACGTGAATTCGCTGGATATTCGATGCCGCCGCCGCCACTGTGTTAATAGTCTTCACCGCCGCGTTCACAATGTGTTGTTGAAGAGAGACCGGCTGGTACTTGTGATGTAACGTGGCCTGCACATTGCTGGTCGCCGATAGTTGTTGCTGTTGCTGTTGCTTACCTTGGTGCTCGCCGATCGCAGTCTGATTCTTGACGGGTTGACTGCTCTGTACCGTGCTCGTGGCAGTCTGCAAAGGATAGAAAACGCTACCGCCGCCAGAAGACGTCGGCAAGGACGTTGAATTGGCCGACACGTTGGTGATGTTAAAGGCGGACACCGGAAGAGGCTGAGTCTGACCGGTGGACGACCGATCGACGACGGTGCCTTCTGCGAAATGACGCGTGTCGTTAGCACC